GAAATAAAGCAAGAAAAAGAACAACCGACAATAGTAAAGGAAGCTATTCCAAACAAAGCAATGCAAGAAATTGAACAATCGACCATATCAATGAAAGTTACTCCAGACGAAATAAAGCAAGAAAAAGAACAACCGACAATAGTAAAGGAAACTATTCCAAACAAAGCAATGCAAGAAATTGAACAATCGACCATATCAATGAAAGTTACTCCAGACGAAATAAAGCAAGAAAAAGAACAACAAACAACGTTAGGAAAGATAATTACTTTTGTTGAAACAAGGCAAGAAAAGAAAATGCCGAGAACAGTGTTGAAAACTATACCGGATGAAGCAAAGCATGAAAAGGTAGATCAAGCAACAACAGAGATTAAAGAGACTCTAGAGGAGACATTTTCAGAAACAGAAAGAACACATAATCCAGAAAACAAATATTTCATAAGGGATCCTGGAAATCATGAATTATCAAGAAAAGGGAAAAAAAGAACTGTCAACTTTAGATAATCAGATTAATGTAGTAGAAGCAATACTGCATAAGGACGAATTGTCAGTAACTGCTAAAAGTTCTATTTTACTGGGCTCAAAATCAAAAGAGAATGAAATCGCTGTGGTGAAAAGAAAACTAGAAAAAGACGAAGAGCCACAAAAGATAGATACTTCTATTGAAACCAAATTAGGAAAATTTGATTTAGATGTTACAGAAACTAAAGATGTTTCAGTGGAAATCGATCCACAAAATGTTGATATACCTATCAAAGTGATTGGAGGTGTTTGTGACAAAGCAACATCCGAAAAAGGTGAATTACTCACAGCGCAGAAAAATAATATTTTTGAAAATGTTAAAACAGAAAAATGTAAACCAACAAAATCAGAAATTAAAGTGTTTGAAACTGAGAAAATACCAGAGAAAAATGTGGTGATAGCAAAAGAAGAAGTTATTCAATTGGATACGAAACTTGTTACTGGCGTGGAACAAAAAAATAAAAAACAAGCTGCAACAGGATTCCAATTTATAAGCAATTCTGATATAGCTTATAAGCTATCAGATACTAAAATTGCTCCATATAAAAAACTGCCATGTTCTTCCAAGTTAGCAGAAATGCTAGAAAGAGAATATATGCATTCAATTGAAGGAACTGAGCATAATATGATTTGTGTTACCAACTCATCTGAAGAAAAAAATGAAATTAATGGAGTTCGTGACACAGAAGAAGTTGTAGAATTAGATGAAATTACAGAAAGAGAGAAACTAGTAACAACCGCTAGTATGAATACTACTGATGAAAGTAATCCATCTCAATCTCAAATTACAAAATACGAGATTGTTACTTCGAAAGCTAACGGTATCCTTATCACAGAAGAGGAGGACTTTAAACCAAATGTAATTGATAAATGCACAAGTCCTCTAACGAAGAGGAAACACGAAGAGACAAAAAACGTTCATGAAGCTTACAGAACAGAAAAAAATGAGATCGAAAATGGTAGAATTTTACAGACACATTTTGATGGCAAGATAAAAGGACATGGTGAAGGAATTTCACAAACAGTAGTGCCAAGAAATACTCGGCCCTTTGTTTCAGGTTCTCAAGTATCAGATACTACTGTTTTGCCTTTAACTTCTGCCACTTTACAAAAAGGCACTCCGCTAATAGTTAAAGACACATTGTTAAAAGATATTACACACTACAACGTGGCTGTAAAAGAAACCGTTACCAATGAGGATGATTCAACAAGAGACATATTTGCTAGAACAACTATTTTTGATGATAGTAAAATTACACCTACAATAGAATTTTCTACACAACTTGCAGACAGTGAAGATTTTAAAAAAGAACTTATCGAAGCCATTGAAACAATAACAAAAACTACTGACATTGGAAACGTTAAAAATGAAAGAGTAACACAAAAGAAAGGTAAAGATGAAATACCGACAACAATGTTTCGAAGATATCAAGAAATAGAACAAGTGGTAAGTCCAGAAAAAGTTAAAGAATTCCCAAAATTGAAAGAAGAATCGAAGGAAGAATTCCATTCTAAATCATGCCAAAAAATATATATTCCATTAGAATCCGAGTTAAGGAGAAGCATACCCTCAAATGATCAGAATGTCAAAAGATCTCAAAAAACTAAAACACAACACTCTAGGAACGATGAGGCTTCTCAAACTGTAAAAAATGTTGAAGACAAAAATCATTCTAAAATTATTTTTCATTCTGAATTAACAATTCCTCAAGAAAAACAAGTAAACTGCGGGCAAAACATTACTGGTAAAGAGGAAAAAGGAACAAAAGAAAATGATTATAGAGCAACATACACTGGCAGAGAAAATGCAAATAATGCAGATCAAATAGCCGCTATCAAAATCGAGGAAAAATATTCTCTAACAAGGCAAGTTTTGTCGTTGGAAAATAACTTGCCTGAGGAAGAAAAAGAAGCAGACGAGTGCAATAAAAATAATGAAGATCAATCTGTTTCTACAACTAGTGCAAAAGGAAAAACTGGTAAACTTATGAAGCCTAAACACGAAGAAGAAATAATACTTGAAAATATTCAAAGAAAAGACAAAGAAGCGAAATTCGTGAAAACATTAGAATTAAAAAGTTACTTAAGCCACTTTGAAGAGTTAAAAACGAATATTAGCGAACCAGATATTTCACAACCTAACTTGATAAAAGATAATAAGGCAGAACTACAGGATAAAACACATCTTTATGAAGAAGAGGGGAAAATAGAAATTATAATGACTAATGAACATAGAGTAGGTGAGTCGACTACTTCGTTATCAAAAGAAGAAATTATAGAAAATAAACTGGAAACTGTGAAGCCTGTGAAAGAAGAAATAGTACTCGCAGGCCCTATAGTAGAAGATGAAAAGAATACATTTGATAAAGAACATCCAATCACAGAAGAGAGCGAGGGTTTGGAAAAAGAAACTAAAAGCAAAAATGGGGAATATCGACTCAAACTAGAAGAAAATCAACCCTCAAACGTTACAGATCTTAACAATGCGATCCCTTCTAGAGTTTACAATATAGAATATAAGATCTCCAAAGGACATTTGGTAGCTCTTAAAGAAGATAAAACTCTTCAGAAAGAACTTATTGCTGAACCAACTCCATTTAATGTACTACAGTTAGTTCCTGACACAGGCGTAGAAAAAGAAGCTACAGAAGCACATTTAAAAGAAAAATCATCCCTACTATTATTAACGGAAGATGTATATATCTCGATAAAACCACTGGAAATGGAAACGGTGCTCACAAACATTGAAACAATGAATAAACAACCCGAGCAATCAAGAGAAAGAACTAATAAACTTAGAAATAGAAGAGAAGACAAACTTAAATCAGTAGCTTATAGGGAAGGTGTTCCCCAGTTGGTCATAGACGAGACAAAGTCAGGACAAAGGAATGAAATTGTATCCGAACTAGAATCAGAAATGACAATACCAAAACTGAACGAAGAAGAAGAAATGCGGATGGAAGAAATCATACAAAACACGACTGGTACAGCCAAAGAGGTTTCCTTTAACAGAACACTGTCAGTTTCATCGACTAAGGGGAGTAGATTTAAAGAGCAATCGAAAGACATCTTTAAAACACCCACAAAATCAAGGCCTTCTAGAACTCCACCGAAGACGTTTTACAAAAAAGGTTGGAAGTCAGTTACCCATGCTTGTCTGATATTTTTCTGTATAACCTTGTGAATATACTCTAAACTTCGTATTGTTTGAGTAAATTTGTTTATAAATATGATAAAGTAATTGTAGTAGAGTAATAATGTTTACAGTTCGTGCCTTTACTGTACTGTTTTCTATTCGTTCATTTGTTTAAAATTGTTCTGAAATAACATGTTCAACTAAAGACAGGAATATTATCTATTGCTAGTATTATTTTGTCGTGTGAACATTAAGATATACGTGTTTGAGCCCATTTATTAAAATAGCTTTTAAAGAATTTTATAATAATTATTACTGTAGGATCTAAGTTGTAACTCTAAGTTTCAGTAGCACGTTTGTTGGGCCCGGCATGGCCAGGTGGTTAGGGCGCTCGACTCGCAATCCGAGGGTTGCGGGTTCGAATCCCCGTTACACCAAACATGCTTGCCCTTTCAGCCGTGGGGGCGTTATAATGTGACGGTCAATCCCACTATTCGTTGGTAAAAGAGTAGCCCAAGAATTGGCGGTGGGTGGTGATGACTAGCTGCCTTCCCTCTAGTCTTACACTGCTAAATTAGAGACGGCTAGCGCAGATAGCCCTCATGTAGCTTTGCGCGAAATTCAAAAATCAAACAAACAAGCACGTTTGTTATTAAGTGCCAAGCGGTACAATAAGATATCATTTCTATGTCCACCACAGTGATTAGACCCAGAATTTTAGCGCTATAAACCTTCAAGCATACCTGTTGAGTTGCCGGGGACAAAAAAAAAAGAACTCTCTACTGACAAATATAACATTTTTACCTTCACGTAATTTCATTTCCAGTTACGATTTTGAAGTGTTTTTTTTTTTAATGTTCGAAAAGTAATGAATATTATTGGATATATGTAACAAGTAAACCGTTTCAGCATCACAGCTATGGAAAACAATTCTGTACTTTCTGGATATATGTAACAGCATCACAGCTATGGAAAACAATTCTGTATTTCCTTTGTTTCTCGCAAATGTCATGGTGTAACGTTTTCATTGTTTTGAAACTGGACGTATATTTATTCAGGTATGTGTTGTTAATTAAAATATTACAGTTGTGTCTGTAGTTAGTAAAATGTTCTGCCTGAACAGGATATCTCCAACCTTAAACTTGCTAATCTTACCCTTGCGATGTGTAAACGCAGAGTAATGAATAAACTGTTGATCGGATGTGGAGCGTTTGTATTTTCAGTCTCTTTACTTATTCACATTCTGCATACAAATCCTTAGGACCTCCTGTAATTTCGATTATAATAGTTAATCTTTTGGCTTCAGTTTTCCTTGAGAATACCACACCTTTAGATCAATTACACTGTTCACTCTGTTTTTAGAATACCGCAATTCACGTTGATTAATTATTCGTTCAATTATTTTATTCATAAGAAGTCATGAAGTATTGTATTCACTTTTATTCTACGATGAATCATTACACATTGATAACTGTAATATCTTATGTGGGACTGAATAACTGTAATATCTTATGTGTTACTGAATGTCAGTAGATACCACTGATGAAGATTATAACCTATATTTTGTTTACTTCTTGATCAAAATAAACATACAGGATTTAGCATTGTACGCTGAGTGATTTATTTATTTATACCGACCACCAACTACATCACTCAATCATCCAAGTTTTATTATTGCGCATGCGTGAGTAAATGTTCTTGACTTTCATGATTAATGACAACAGTAATTAATTAAAATACATTGTATCTATGTAATGAAGACCAATGTTTAATAACATTATGTTACATGAAAGTTTGTACAAAACTCTAAATGTTTGTGTATAATGTTATCTATTACTGACACGTACAGATTAAGTTCGTAGATTACGAAATTTCAACGATTATCTTCTACATTATATATATGTATTGTTGTTTTGTATAAGAGCAACAAACACGTGATAATTATCATTATGTATGGATCTTTTTGTACGGTGGTTGAGCGTGGTTAACTAGTTGGCGTGCCGGACTGTGAATCTGATGGTTTCCCTTACTGTTGCCGTAAAATCACGCTCTACACCTATGATCATACGAGTCAAATCCTATCACGATGATTAGAGTATCCCCTTCCAACAAATTGCCTAATTTCTCTCTGTGGTGTAAAAATAAAGATTTAATTTGTTGTTTCTGTAATGTATCATTTACAGAAAATGATTTGGGGTTTAAAAAGCTAACTTTCTTAGATTGTTACACGTTTTGTAAAATAAGGTAACATCCGCTGAAAGTATTCAAACTTTTACACAATATAATTGTTCTTATCATCACATAAGTTATAAAAGCCACAGGTTAAATATTTAACGAAGTCGTGCGATTCAACTAAATAGAGAATTTTTGCTTATTAACTAAGAGAATGACATGCTTGTATAATTCTAAGTACTTAGTGTAAGTAACAGATTAAAAATATGTTCTTATTATAATAGTTATAAAGCGATAAATATATGGTGTAAGCTCAGTGCACTTATTAAATTCTTGAATCTTAGTGTAAAAGTAATTAGTTGTAATTTTTTTGCAAATTGATATCGTTATATATGTTTACAATAGTATTTTGAATGTCACCATATGGTATTGTGACCAAATGTATATGGTAGATATATTTAATTTACAGACATGAACAGCCGTTTACTTCTCTGTTTTGTTTACAGATGTCCCAACTCCACTTCCAGCTCCATCAGTAAACGTAAGTGGTTGTAGTACAACTTTTATAAATAATAATTAACACAAATATTAAAACAATATAATGTTTTAAAGATACAAAATTAGAAATTTTCTGCCCTGCAATGCTATACAAGTATGCATATATATATGTGAGATAATAAAAAGAACGTGTTGTTTCATTTGAGAAATAAATGTCATAATGCAGCGTTTCCCAAAGTTTGGGGCGCTTCCCCAGGGTGGTACAAATAATCTCTTTTGGGGCGAGCGATTAGAAGAGTCTCAATAGTTGAATAACGTAAATTTAAGCGTTTTAATATATATTTTTCATTGATGAAAATAATAAGTAATTACTACAACACACATGACATTTTAATGTGTATCCTTGTATTACATCTTGTCACTTAACTCACTCTTTCACTCATTTAAGAAAGAGGGACGCGCTAGAAAGCATATTTATTAAAGGAGGTGTGGATGACAAAAGTTTGGGAAACGCTGCCATAATGCGTGCGTTGTAACAGAAAGTACAAAATATGTATATATTGTAATAAGAATATCGTTCTGCGTATATCGTAATGTTGAGAATGTTAAAAGTGTGGTAACAATAAAAAATACAGCTACGTAACATTTATAACTGAATATCAGCTGAGGAAAGTAGGAATGAACATACTTTACACACTCTGATCCTTCATATATCTCTAACTTGTTCTACAAGGAACCGAACCTGGTGAGATAGGATAGAAATATACATTCCTGTAGTGACTGAAATGATAAGACAGGCCTGCGGATTTAAACTTTATAAAAGTTGGTTTGGCTTTAATAACGGATCTGCGTAGTTGAATTGTGGAAAACTTCGAAAATAATATTCTTTTTTTTCTATCACGTAAGGATTTTGTATAAATCGGAAAGAAAAAACTCTTACTTAGATCAAATTATTATTTGTTTATCACAATGAACATTTTTTATTATTATGTTTGTTAACAAAAATATAAACAAGCTGAAGAAAAGAGAAGAATATTAATGTCAAACGAATATGCATCCTCACTCATCCTGATTTTTTGTGAAATCTACGTCTTTTAGTCTCAAAATTGCGTATTGTGGTCTTTCGTTTATGTATTGCGTTATGACGTCTGTGAAAAATCTGTACGTGATGGAGAAACATGGATATTATTTTCGGATTCAGCGTACAGGAATTACTGTAGAACATGTAAACATTTCAAGAGAATAAAACCATCGCAGGCCTGTGTGGTCGGAAGTATCATTATTATCTTATCTTCAGTTATTTTATTCAGTTTTACGTTATTTTCGTCTTTTTATTATAGGTTTATATCACTTAATAAGTAAATTCATTCTGTTTATCAACTGAAATGCTTTGTTGTGATGGCATTCTTTCACATCTCCGTTACTTTACGCGTGCGTTTTACCGCTATAGAATCTGGTTCAGTTTGTTTGTTTTCAAATATTCACGCAAAGCTACCCAGGAGCGATTTTTTGCAACTGGTTCACAACACCACACTAAATTTTAGATTTATACAATAGGAACAATTAAACGAAGCATATAGACAAATTGCTGCGTCACACGCAATACTTTGAAATCAAGGGAACAAAATCGGCATTATTCAAGTTGAAAATGTCATAAAATATGCAGAAAACAGCTTAGATTTTGAACTAATACTTTTATGCAGCGTTATCGAGGGATCAAAACAATGCTTCAGACGAATATAAGGTTTTAAAGACACATCTTTGACGCAAGAAGAAATTCGGTAGCGTTGAAGAGTTCATGAAGAATTGTGTTTTTTTTTTACCAATAATTCATATAACAGGTAGCTTCTTGAACACATAAAGTTATTTAAAGACTTGCTGGTTACAAAATATACACTATATATTTACATCAAGCAAAGAGTGCATTGACTAGAACCACTTTTCTTCGGATATGTTTTTGGAGATACGTGTTTGTAAACACATGGCACCTGTACAAACATGGTGACTGGAAAGTCACAACTACTTACCTTAAGACATACTGTGTGTATTTTACTTAACGAATAGCTTTCTTAACATTTAATAGTGTGTGTATATTATATCTGGTATTGAAAAATAATTGTTTGTTTCAGCGCAAAGCTACTCAGTACACTATCTGCTTTCTGTCTACTGCTGGGAATCGAACCCCAGATTTTTTAGCATTGTAAGTTATTAAAATTACCGCTAACCAACCGAGAGACTGGTATTTGGTAATTAAGCATGTTGTCGTCGAATAGTTGCAAGTTATCGAACCTAATTCGAGAATTATCTTGAGATATTTCTGTTGACCTTTACTGCTACAGGCGAGACCCTTGTTTTTACATAGTTTGTGTTGCTGTTTCTTCGGTTTATTATCTTTTCTATAGCCAAGTTTATGAAAGAAAAGAGATTAACATGCTGTTAAGTGTTCTCTAACGAGCTGGATCCATAATTAATTGTTTCAGAGGTAACAGACGCAATGTTTCCAAGTAATGGATACGGTCAGGGTTAACAGACCTAATGTTTCCAAGTAATGGATGCTGTCGGGGTTAACAGACCTAATGTTTCCAAGTAATGAATCCTGTCAGGGTTAACAGACCTAATGTTTCCAAGTAATAAATCCTGTTAGGGTAAACAGACCTAATGTTTCCAAGTAATGGATGCTGCCAGGGTTAACAGACCTAATGTTTCCAAGTAATGGATGCTGTCAGGGTTAAGATTACTTGGAAACATTAGGTCTGAATCCTGTTAGGGTAAACAGACCTAATGTTTCCAAGTAATGGATGCTGTCAGGGTTAACAGACCTAATGTTTTCAAGTATATTAGAATACATATATATCCAATTTTAACAAATTCATAAAATATATCATTTAAATTTTAAAATGTTTATCAAAATATGATTTTATTGTTTTTGGTACTGCGAGGTTAATCTTGTTACAATCTGTCTGTAAAATCATTCAAGGAATGGGGCAGTAGCAAATATTTTCCCACAGCGAATTAATATATACAAATCGTTGAAACAAAATATATATGCTTAAGATGTGTCCACCTATTTTCACATTTATATTCTCAATTATTCTTTTAATCAAACAACACAAACCCAGTGAATAAAAACGACAAGTCAGTAAACGCCTCAAATGCTTCGCTGTTGATACAAGAAACACTTGGAGTTTACGGCACCTGGTTGTTAGGACAACTGTACGATAACATCCGGAAAAAACACGAGACCTATATTGTAGTCACCCGAAGTGATATTGATATATAGCTATTTATAGTGTGTTTGTTTATCAAAATTAGGGTGTACCTTGTTAAGTATAGACTAAACAATTATAATGCTATGAAGCTTGTGTAAACTAACGTGTACCACGAAACAACTCAATTTTTGAACAGTTTACACTAGTTTGATAACATGCACAGTTCAACGACCGCGTGACGTCATCGCATAAAGGTATTTCTATTAAAGTCTTGAAACAGGCGACAAGAAAATAAATGTTTTAAATTAGTGAACCATATCACGTAGATTTCTACATGAAAAATATACTAACTTCCACGATTTTATAAAACACACTGTCTTTTCTCGTGGTAGGAGCTATACATAGAGATTGGATAAACCCTAAACACACTCGAGGCACATCATGCCAGCAGATCGTGTGGGAAAGATGGTTATGTTTGACTACAGCATGTACTGGATCAACTACCAGGTTAATCATCTTATTTAAAGGGAGGAGGAGGTATTAACATACCTGTGCTCACAAACATCACGTATCTTTTTATGTTTCCGTAACCTGCACGCTCTTATATTCGAGCCCTTCGGGACCAATCATAAGGAATATTCAACTGTAACGACGTAACAGAACTTCTTAAAACCTGCAGAGGAGACATACGTTTATGTTTTTGAATACGAAGATCCATTCTAAGTTATAAAAGATTGTGAATAGCACAGCGCTAATTATGTTTCTACGGACAGTATTTGGAAAACTGTATTTCTTTCATCTTGGTTCATTGAAAGCTATACAAAGATACGCCGCAGGTTTTTGGGTATATAGTCGCTCATATAATTTCATTTGTTTGTTACAAATGTAAGACATTTATAAAGATATTTCTGTATGTTTTTACTGTACATGCGATATATGAGAAAAAAAATGCTAAATTAATAAAATCACAGTGAGAAAACTTTACACTGTCCGGTCTGAGTATATCATGAAAACTCTCTACACTGTCCGGTCTGAGTATATCACGAGAACTCTCTACACTGTCCGGTCAGAGTATATCATGAAAACTCTTTACACCATTCGGTCTGAGTATATCATGAGAACTCTCTACACTGTCCGGTCTCAGTATATCATGAGAACTCTCTACACTGTCCGGTCTGAGTATATCATGAGAACTCTCTACACCATTCGGTCCAAGCATTTCTGAAAAATAACTACACCGTTGGGTCCGAGTGTCCCACGAGAACTTTATATTACGAACATTAGATGAAAAAATATCGCAGTTATGTTACAACATTTTACAATGAATAGGTTCAAGGTAGAAAATGTTTATAAAGATCGTTTTATCGTATATTTTTACATAGATACTAGCTCAGATGCGTGTGGTCAACTGTAGTCGACGCAGTAAGAAACAGTTTTGGTACTGATTCTTTTTGAGAACATTCGAAGAAAAAAACACTCTTTATTGCTAGTCTGGTATATTTATTTCGGAGTTTGTTTATCTCACGGAATACTATACACAAAATGAAACTTTAATGCTCTTTCTCTATTCGTACAGTTGCATTCCTTCAGCATTGTAATTCATATAAGTTACTTTCCTTAGTCCTGCATTTCCCTTACTATCATAGTTGTACCTTAAGTTCCGTTAGTGTTGAAATTCGTGGGTATTAAGTCACATATCTTATTCCTACACTTTCTTTATTCTCAGAGCTTACTCGGAAATTATGCTATTTTTACTTAGTTTTTATTTGTTTTGTTTGTTTCTTATTAAGTATAAAGCAGGGATCGAATTTCGGAGAAATAATCAACGTTCGTT